CTCTTGCATTTCTTATGACCTTTTCTTGTAAAAAAAATGTAGTCAAATAAGACAAATCAGCACAATGACCTTGTTTAAAAGGTAGATCTCTTGCGTTCCTCTCCTATAGGATACCATCTCTCTGCTGAGACTTCAGTCTTCTGAAATACTACATTGATTAGAGTTTTGATGCTATTTTCATATACATTTTTCTATGTTATTTTCTTATACATTCTTCTAGTCATTGTATAAATTGTTCACTTGGTTCTGCCTACTCTCAATCAATCATTTGTCTTCTATGTCTTTTTTAATTAACCAGTGCCATGGCTGTAACTTTCTACCTCCAGAAATGAGGCTGTTATGAATCACCATTATTACCATCATCATCATCATTATCATTATTACCTGTATGCTTGAAACTACCAGTATAACTCCCCTTTTTGGAGAAGCCTTTCCTTGGTGGGAAAAATAATTTGAATTACTACATTTTATCACAACCATTTTTTAATCCATATTATAATGGGCAGCCAGATGGCACAATCAATAAGGGTACTGGGTCTGGAGTCCAGAAAGACATGAGTTCAAATCTGGCCTTAGATACTAGCTTTGTGACTCTGGGCAAGTTACTTAAGCACTGTTTGCCTTAGTTTCCTCATTTGTAAAATGAGGATAGTAGTAGCACCTTCCTCTGACAGTTGTCATGAGAATCAAATGAAATAATCTTTATTTAGAGCAGGGCCTGGCACATTAATAAGTGCTATATAAATATTAGATGCTAAATATTATGTGAGTGAATAGCTCCCTTTAGGTGATATTTGCTTATAATTCCATAATTTGCATGCTAAATGTTCAGTTCTTTATTTTCTTATAACTTTTGCAAAAGGGTTTGCCAACCCACATCTGAACTCTTAGATAACAGTAACCTGTTTCAAGGTTGTTCTAACAATAAATATTAGTACCTAACCAGAACAGACCATCTGTCATAAGAAAACTATCACCTCCCGAGGTCACTGTGTATAATGAGAGTACTAATTTTGAGGATATTAAGTATCTTTAATGAGTACCAAGGGTAAGTTTCTCAGAAACACCAGTCATGAGCTCAGAAAAATTCTGTCTGCAAGTTCAGGCACTCTGAACAATTGACTTTCAATAAAACCTGAAAAGCAGGCTCTCAAGAAATAATGTCAAAACTAAAATATTTTCCTCTCTAATAAAAAGAACACTGCATTTCAAATCATACTGCTGCCAAAGACTCATCCTGTGATCCTCGTATAGGTAGTGGGACTTATATCAGTATGGATCACTGGGAACTTTACAGGCAGAAAGCTGTGTTCCTTGTCTTTAAGCACCTGAAGCATCCTTTGCCATTTTCTTATTCCCTGCACTCATTATTCATCTGAAATCTGGCCAACTCTGCCTTATATCCTTCAATAATTGCTGCTTGCCACGTGCATGAGTTGTGCATTAGGCTTTGTTTTTACCTTTTAGTGGTATGGAGGTAATGTTTATAACAAAAGTATCCATTTAGAGAGCATTTTCTGCTGAATGTTGGGAGAACCAGTGGGAGATACTGAACCCCTCTCTGACTCTTGGAGTTAGACCTATTAATCTAGGATATGTCCCCACTCTCTCATAATTGTTTAATCTCTCTGTACAGTACAGTTGGTCTTGAGTCCCAGAAAGAAGAGATAGCTCAAAGACTAAATGTGAACTGGGAAGCAGGCTATCCCACTTAGTTTTCAGGTAAGGTGGGGTGGGGTGCCTTTGAGTGGAGCAAGTGAAGCAAAAGAGTAAGTATTTCTTCTTGGTGCAGTGGACAGAATGATGGGCCAAGACTCAGGAAGACCTGAGTTCAAATCTGGCCTCAGACACTTGCTAGCTTTGTGACCCTAGGCAAGTCATTTAACTTCTGTTTGCCTTAGTTTCCTCAACTGTAAAATCAGGATAATAATAGCATCTATTTCCCAGGGTTGTTGTGAGGATTAAATGAAATAATATTTATAAAGTTGTTAGCGCAGTGCCCAGCACATAAATTCTTATCCCTTTCCTTCTACTGCTAGAGGGTCAGGTCTTCTCAGGATGCCCCTGCCTCCCCTATCCTGGGAAGCTTCTTATTCCCAAGCTGCTTAAACTTCCCCTCAGAATAGACTCCAACAGAGTGGCTAAGCTCGGGGTCAGGGTATACCTGGAAGGTCTCTCTCCCTTCTCAGCTTCTTACTCGGAATCACAAGACTAGGGGATCCTCCCCTGGGAAAGGCCAATTACCCTATTCCCCCAAGAAAAGCAAAATGTCAACAACTTGAGTGAAGAAGCACTGAACTAAAATTTAGGAGACTTGAGTTCCTGCATTCCAGTCTCACCTTTGAAACAAATTTTGGCCCTCTGTTTCCCATTCCACAAAACACAGGATTTGGACAAAATGGCTTCTTGAGTAACTTTCAACTCTAGCATGATATTTTGAGTCCTCTTTTTGCCCATTTCCCCAAAGTATTAATCGTGAGGATTACCACTCTAACCCATCACCTAGTAATAAGGCTTCTTGGATACCAGTTGTGAGGAAATAATTACCTTTGCATTTTGTTATGTGTGTGTGTGTGTGTGTGTGTATACATACATACATACATACATGGATATAGATATAGATACAGATATCACATATATCCTCCCCCCTCCATCAGTAATACAGTTAGAAAACACTCTTCACCTTAGAGACTTAGAGATGGGAGTTGGGTATCAGGAGGGAGAAGGTAAAAGGATGGAATGTGGAAAGAAGTTAAATGATTTGCTTATGGCAGTATTTTAATTTAGTCATTCTTGATTCTGAATCCAGCATGTTATCCAAACTGATAATCTCTTAGTTAGTATCTATGCCTCTAAGTCTTGTTTCTCTTAAATCCTTCACAAGACTACTGACAAAATACTTTTCTTGCTGCATTGCTTTGATATAGTCTCTTCTGTACTCAAAAACCTTCAGTGAATACCCATTGCTTATGAAACAAAACCTTAACTCTTGAATAAGGCTATGTCTATTGTGCCAAGCTGTTAATTTCCTTTGCAATTCTCTCTTCCATAGTTCTCATTCTTTTCCAATTTTCTTCATCATGCTCTCATTTCATTTATTTAAAAAAATACTTTTCTTAACTATTTCTGTAGCACACTTCACTTCCAGGAATTACTGTTGAATTTGTTCTTATGCTGTGTTTTTCTCTGAATTTTCTCTTTGCTTGCAGATGTTTTGGGGTCATTGTCTTCTGGGTTTGTGTCTCAAGGGTACCAGTCACCATAATAGCTTTTCATGATGGGATTCTTTTTTTTTTCCTCAAAATTCTTCCTGTCTGTTTCTTGATTTCAGACTTTAGAGTAGGGCCAAGTTTTTGGAGGGTTTCTCCTCACTTTTCCTTTTTAGGACATTGAATGTTGTGTTTTTTTCAGCATCTCAGACTGGTCACCTGTAAGGAAAGCTGAGCTTGGAAGGCCCTCTCAATATGGATCCAACATACCGTTCCAGACACTACTCTACATTTGGCCAAAGTGGATCATGCATTCTCCTCTGATTCTTACCCTGCTGTGTTCCATCTCCTTGCTTTTGTTCACCATGTTCCCTAACCCAGGAATAAAACCCTCCTATACCTAACTATTTTAAAAATCTCTTCCTTCCAGACCAATTTCTAGTGTAACCTCTTCCAAAAACTATTCATTCATCTCTCCTGAAAGTGCTTGTTCTCTTATTGAATTTCTCCTACTATTTTCTCTTGACCTTTATATTTACCACAATTTGTCTTATATCAGAGTTAATCAAGTACAATCATCTTACTCCCATTAGAATACATAAGGACTAAACTTGCTTCTTTGCAACTTCTACCAATTATTCTTAGTTCTGCATTCTCCTTTTAAACAAAACAAGCCAAATCCCTCTTTCACATAATAGTCATTCAGATTCCTTACGGGCTCTCTATATGTGTCATGCCTACTTTCCAAGTCTTGCTGAGAAATACAATCAAATTAATAATACCACTATATCTGGAAAGGATATGATCTTCACTTATTGTACTCTACTTCCCATTCCTATGGCTGCCCAAACCGGATCTTTTGCCTGGCCACCAATCTCCTATATGCATTATCTACTTTACTGGAATGTAAACTTGTTGAGAGCAGGAACTCTCTCACTTTTGTATTTGCATGCTCAACACCTAGTATTGTGTCAGATGCATAGCAGTCATTTGAGAAATTATTTTTCACTCATTTACTTTCTTTCCTATCTATATGTAATTTGCAAATTTTATATACAAATATAATCTATGTCTTTAAGTCATTAACAAAGACACTAAAGACAATAGTGACTTGAAACATTTTAATGAAGATAGTTTTTTAAATTGACATCATACTATTAAGAGCTACTTTTCATCCTTTCATTTAGATTAAATGTATGTCCAAGGGTCAGGTCATAGGAAGGTACACAGAATTGGATCAAAAAAAAGGTTTTGTTGAATTTGGTAAACTTGGGCAAGAAACCTTAAACACCTCCTGTTCACCTAGGCCACACTTTTGAGCTTCAGGGAGCAGAGCTAACTGTGCTTTCTTCCTCAAGTTGATGATCTAGAACTGCTAATGCAAGGAATTCAGAAGCTGATCTTGTTAAAATTTGATTAGATAATAATAGTAAGAGCTAACATTTATGTAGCCCTTTTTGGACCCTTTAAAATTAATAATAAGGAGCTTTTGTTTATGTGAGTTATATCTCAATATTTACCATATTAGAAATTAAAACTGATAAATTTATTAAACATTTACAAGTATTAATATCAGTTTTTTTATTTAATTTCAAATGCATGTTTTTCTTCTCTTCTTGTTCCCATTTGTGTTCATATATTTGAAAATCTGTAGCCATCAGTGAAAACCAAATAAAATTATTAACCACTATAAAAAAGAAATACCACTAAGTATATGCAATACAAATATAAATCACTACTATTGTTCAATCCAACTATTATGACCAGTGTCCTTCCATCACTCTCATAGGTAACCACAATGAAATAACATGGGCAAAGGGAATTACACAGCTGTGAGTGAGTTTATCCTGATTGGACTTTCTCAGTACCCAGGCCTCCAGATGTTTCTTTATGTGATCTGCCTAGTGATGTACCTGGTGATCCTTCTGGGAAACAGCTTCCTTATTATCATTAGCATTCTGGATTCCCACCTTCATACCCCTATGTACTTTCTCCTTGGGAATCTCTCCTTCCTGGATATCTGCTATACATCTGCCTCTGTTCCCCAAATTCTGGTTAATTTTATGAGTGAGAGAAAATCCATTTCCTTCACTAGGTGTGCACTTCAGATGTTTATGTCCCTTGGATTGGGGTCCACAGAGTGTCTGCTGCTGGCAGTGATGGCCTATGACAGGTACATCGCCATCTGCAATCCCCTAAGATACACCATCATCATGAATAAGGAACTCTGTGTGCAAATGGCTGCTTGGACTTGGATTATAGGGTGTCTGAACTCTCTGGTACAAACTACACTTGCTATGATGATGCCATTCTGTGGGACTATCATTGACCACATAACCTGTGAGATACTGGCCCTTCTTAAACTTATTTGTATAGGCATTTCCCTCAATGTGTTTATTATGACAATTGCAAGTATTGTTTTCTTAATCACGCCTCTGCTATTCATTTTCTTCTCATATGTTGTCATCCTCTCTACTATCCTGAGGATCAACTCAAGTGAGGGGAGGAAAAAAGCCTTTTCCACCTGCTCAGCCCACCTGACTGTGGTGATCTTGTTCTATGGGTCTGCTCTTTTCATGTACATGAAGCCCAAGTCCAAGGAATCCAAGACTTCTGATGAGATCATTTCACTGTCCTATGGAGTGGTTACCCCAATGCTGAATCCCATCATCTACAGCCTGAGGAACAAAGAGGTAAAAGGAGCTGCGGAGAAAATTCTATTCAGAAATCTATTTTTAAGAAAAATATGAAAAAGTCTGAGGTTTTCAGTTCCCTTCTTTTGCAGGGGGGACTCATTCCTTTGCATGCAACAGTAGCACTGCTCTTCCTGGAAAGAGGAAGTGTGACTGTTACTACAAAGAAGAATGTATAATTTTCACTCTTTTCTACACATGTAACAAATATCCAAAATACAGTATCTCTTAACTCATTAGGCTTCTGTACTGCCTTGGCAGTTTTGCCACTCTGTAGCCTGGGGTTTATGGTTGTCTTTCATTAAAATAAGTCACATACATTCAAGCTGAGTGAGTATAAGTTGATGATGAAAAATTAAATTTCCTATTGCAGAATATCAAATTTAGAGGAATTATTAGAAACCGTTCTTAAAATACTTAAGCTCAAATGCTATAAATCACTATTGATTAAAGAAATGAAAGTTAAAACAAGTCTGAGGTACCTTGCATCTATCAGATTGGCTAATATGACAGAAAAGGAAAAGGATAAATGTTGAGGGATGAGGGGGAAATTGGGACACAAATGCACTATTGGTGAAGTTGTAAACTGATCTAACCATTTTGGAAACAACTTGGAACTATGATCAAAGGGCTATAAAACTGATCCAGGAATACCACCACTAGGCCTGTATCCCAAAGAGATTTTTTAAAATGGAAAAGGACCTATATGTATAACACATTTATAGCAGCTCTTTCAGTGGTGGCAAAAGGGATACCCATCAATTGGGGAATGGCTGAACAAGTTGTGGTACATGATTGTGGTGGAATACTATTGTACTATAAGAAATTACGAGCAGGATGCTTTCAGAAAAACCTGGAAAGACTTACATGAACTGATGCAGTGAAATAAACAGAACCAGGACAACGTTGTTCACAGTAACAGCAATATTGCACAATGATCAACTGTGACCAACTTAGCTGTTTTCAGCAATACAGTGATCCAAGAAAATTCCAAAAGACACATGATGAAAAATGCTATCTACATCCAGAGAAAGAACTGATGGAGTCTGAATGCAGAGGGAAGCATGCTTTTTTTCACTTTATTTTTTGTGGGGTTTTTTGTTGGTGTCTTTTTTCACAACATGACTAATATGGAAATATTTTTGTTTGATTGCACACATATAACCCATATCAAATTGTTTATCATCTTGGAGGGGGGAGGCAAGAGGCAGGAGAGAATTTGAAACTCAATTTTTAAAAAATAAATGTTAAAATATTTTTGTAAAATTGGTAAAATATAACACCAACTTTAATAATCTCTCCATAAGGCCTATGAATTCTATTACTTTATCTCTTACAGGGAATAAACCTATAAAGACAGTCTGCTTTATTTTAATATGGTAGTTTATTAACTATGCTATCTGGAGGGAGAATGAATAAGATATAAAGATAAAGAACTCTGAGAACTTCTTTAATTAGGACCTGAGGTAAGAACATTATGAAGAGAATCCTTGAAATGCTTTTACTGCTAAGCTTACGTGGCTGAATGGTGAGACTATGTTCATAGAATTCAGAAATCAGTAGTAGCAGTGATCCAGGTAATTTTGACCACGATAATTTTCATTTAATATACATTGGAGTGGAGATAGATAGATAGATAGATAGATAGATAGATAGATAGATAGATAGACAGATAGATGGATGGATGGATGCTTCAATCTTTATCGAGAGAGAAACAAAAAGATTATGGGAACAGAATATTTAATAAATAATATTTAATTAACTAGATTGGAACTTAGAGCTATTTAATTAGCTTTAAGAGAGATGCTGCAATCTTTGTTTACCATTTATTTTAAACATATTAAATTCTTATAAATAAAGTTCTATTGAACACTCCTGTATATGCTGCATTTTAGTGATTAGCTTTTCATTCTTGATTATCATTATAACAAACGTCATGTTACAATGACTTGAAGGATAGAACCTTACATGTTTAATAAGTACAGTGATTCAATAGATATAAAACAAATACTCTAAATATTAGAAATGCATTCTTATTGTAAGAATATGAAAAGATGATTATTAAAAACTGAAAAGGAGTTGGGAAAATCCCAAGTGATATTTAGCAGGATAAAATCTGAACAAAAAATCAGTCAGTATTTTGTGAATTCCCAGATTCAAAAATTTCTGATATAGTGACATTAGGGTACACCTTAGCTACTATACTGAGATGGATGAAGGGTGAGACCATGTTTGCAGAATTGAGAAGTCAACAGGAGCCCTGATAGAGTTAATTCTGGCCATCATCTCTCTCATGTCTGATACATTGTAACAGGGTTTTGATAGATGATCAGGATTGATAGAAAAAGGAAATACACAAATAATGAATAATCAGAATGACCCAAATGAGCAAAGGAATTGAAAGCATGGTTTGGTCTAAAGGCATATTTAGTATGTAAGAAGATAAACATGACTCAGAGGCAATCATTTTTAAAAAATAAAAATATTTGAGGCTGAACCCTGTAACTCAATTAAGGAAAACTCAATTTCAAGAAACGCCTTAATATTTTCTTCACTATGGGCTAAAGAAGCACAGAAATACACTGATAATACTGCTTTAGCCATTGAACAGAAAAAAGTGAAAAAGCTTTCATAGACTTGATTAGTCACATTACACATTCATTGGTGTTGGTCTCCAAATAAGCCTTTTGTCTTGCTTATGTATATTAGCTTGAAAAGCTTAAGAGAAATCTTGTACCAATAGAGTGATGTTGATCAGAAAGCAGTTCACTTCACCAGTAGAAGGCTAAGTGACAGATTTGCTAACAAAGATATAAAGTGGAGTTCTTAGCTTTGAAGTACATTGTTACTGAAATATTCAAAGATTATCATCGCAGAACTAAATTTCAAATGAGTACTGACAACAAGTACTGACATGTTTTCACTAGTGCCAACTTAAATGTTTGTTGGCAGAAAAGACTACTAGCATTAGGCAATTATTAATGCAGTATACACTACTGGCCAGGAAAAACCAATGTGGATACTTCTATTCAACCTCAAAGGCCATGTGACACCAACATCATAATAAAGTGAGTGAAGACTCCAGAGAAATGGGTCACAATCCAATGGAAGTGTAGCTAAGGTTTTGAAATTTACACAAGATAACATGGCAGCAATATGTTTGTAACTCATTTCATTAGACCAATCCTTTTCTCTTAAGTTGACTGTGTAGAGAGTGTGAGTTGCTTATGAAGAACTCTGAGAAGTAAAACAAGTCAAGAAAAAGTAAGTAAAGCTAAATAATTCAAATTTCATTCTCTAGAAAGTGCCTTATTGTTAAGACAATGGTAGAAGTTGGCAATGTAATGGTGAGTTGTACTGGACTCTAATGGGATTCCAGAACACAGTGCTACCAGTTTATATTGGTTCATGGCCAAGAAAGCACTACAGAATGACTTTTGACATATAAGCCAACAGAGAACCCTTGAATGAATAAGAAATCAATTATATTGATCTAAGATGATTGTATGCCTAAAGAAAGACAACATGGCATACTGCACATAGAAACCACCATGCCTGGGAAGACCTCAATTCAAGTGCCATCTCTGACACATACTGACCATGTGATCCTCGAAATTCATTTAACCTCTCAGGGCTGTAGACAACTTTCTCAGGCAAAGAGAAGGTAACTCTCTTCATTGGTAGAGTATATTTTGTCTATGTCAAGGAAATCACTTCTCCACCCCCTATCCCTAAGTTGGCAGCAACTGTTACATAAAAAGTGTGAGAATTTTAATTAATGTGTTCCACAAGAGTAATACCAACTCCTGCTATATATTTGGAAACTGAACCTGGCTACAAAAGGATATGGATTATATTTACATATTCACTCATATTTCACATACATTTTCTTGAGCACCTACAAAGCATAATATATTATACTAGGTGATGGAAGAGATTCAAGGATAAAAGAGACATGGCCTTTGTCCTCAAGGAGTCTCAGAATTGGAAAGTACTTCAGAGGTCATTTAGACCCAAACAAGAATTCAGATTAAAGTCTATCCCCAAAGTGGTCATCAAGCTTTTGATGAAGGACCCCAATGAAGTTCACTACTTCCCACAGTAGACCATTCCTTCTGACTACCCTTCAAATACTTGAAGACAACTAACATCCCTTATAAGTCTTCTCCTCTCCTCTCCATATCAAAACCTTCATTTTCTTTTTCTTTTTTTTTTTAGGCAATTGGGGTTAAATGACTTGCCCAGGGTCACACAGCTAGTTAGTGCCAAGTGTTTGGTCTGAGGCTGGATTTGAACTCAGGTCCTCCTGACTTCAGGGCTGGTGATCTATCCGCTGCACCACCTAGCTGCCCCCCAAAACCTTCATTTTCTACAATGGATTTTGATATAGCATGATCTCAAGACCTTTCACCATTCTAGTATTTTTTCTTTAGATATTTAGTAGCTTGTCAATCTTCTTATTAACATATGTTGGCCAGAATTAAATACAATATTCTAGATCTGGGCTGGCTTGAGCAATATGACTATTAACCTCCCCAGACTTAGACAATAGGCTTCTCAAAGACATCTAAGCAAGTTAACTTTTTCTGTTGCCATTATGTTCAAATTTTGAACTTTCAGTCCTTTAAAATCACCAAATATTTTTCAGCCTCGCTACTATGCAGCAAAAGCTCTCATATTATTCTTGTAAAATGGGATTTTTGAACCCAAGTCTAAGATTTTATATTATCCCCTACCAAATTTCATCTTTCTAAAATACCCCCAACACCCTTACCTGCTTGGAGATTTCAGGATCCTGATTCTGTCACCTAATTATCAAACCTAGTTTTGTGTCATCTGCCAATCTGACAGGTAGGCATACCATCTATAGTGCCATTAGCCAAGTCTTTGAGAAGATGTTAAACAGCAAAGGGACAATCACAGATCCCTGGAACATTCCACTGGAGAATTTCTTCCTGAGTGACATTGAACCACAAGTGGCTGTTATGGCTCTGGCCATGTGATCAGGTGTATAGCCACCTAACTGGATTATAGTCTAGCACACACTTTTCATCTTATTCACAACGAAAGCATAAAAATCTTGGTTATGACAATACAGGGGGAGGAGCCAAGATAGTGGAGTGAAAGCAGTGACTTGCTTGAGCTCTCCCCTCAAACCCTCCAAATACCTGTAAAAAAAAATTGACTAAACAAATTCTAGAGCAGCAGAACCCACAAAAAGACAGAGTGAAACAAATTTCCAGTCTAGGACAACCTGGATGATTGAGAGCAGTACAGGTCAGTGTGGGCCAGGCCAGCAAAGATGGAGGCCCAGTGAACCTGGAACAATCCTCAGGAGACTGAATCACGGGAAGCTGTGGCATTTTCCAGACTTCTCAACCCAACTTAGAAAGTCAGTGGTAAGAGACGAGCACTGGCCAGTCCTGGCCTAGCACAGGCTGCTTCTGGAGCTCTCGACCCACAGTGGGGGGATCGAGTGGCTAATCAGAGAGGGATTGCAGGGATCTCTCTGCTGGTGCTAAGGCAGGATTCTCTTGCTTTGCCCGTGCTTGGATCTGGGTCACAGTCCTGGGTGGTGGTCCTGGGGCTAGGAGGAGTGCTGGTGAGGTGGTGCTCGTGGCAGCGATGGAAAAGAAATATTCCTCATAGTTCCAAGGCAAAAAAGAATGCTTGTGGTCACTCATAGACCAGAGCACAGGTCAGGAGTAAACACCTTGCCTTTGATCATACCACCTGGGAAGAACTGAAAATTTACAAATCCCTAGAAGTGTCTCTGAAAACAGCTGCATAAAACCCCTGAAGCTGGGGACAATACACCTTCCAAGCTGGAAGAGCTGAAAAAGGATTTTGAAAAGCAAGTAAGAGAAGTAGAAGAAAAACTGGGAAGAAAAATGAGAGTGATGCAAGAAAATCATGAAAACAAGTCAACAGCTTGCTAAAGGAGACCCCAAAAAAAAATACTGAAGAAAATAACACCTTAAAAAATAGCCTAACCCAAATGGCAAAAGAGGCCCAAAAAGCCAGTGAGGATAAGAATGCCTTAAAAAGCAGAACTGGCCAAATGGAAAAGGAAGTCCAAGAGCTCACTGAAGAAAATAATCCCTTAAAAATTAGAATGGAGTAAATGGAAGGTAATAACTCTATGAGAAATTAAGAAATTATAAAACAAAACCGAAAGAATGAAAAAATAGAAGACAATGTGTAATATCTCATTGGAAAAACAACTGACCTGGAAAATAGATCCAGGAGAGAGAATTTAAAAATTATTGGTCTACCTGAAAGTCATGATCAAAAATAGAGCCTAGACATCAAACTTCAAGAAATTATCAAGGAAAAACTGCCCAATATTCTAGAATCGGGGTAAAATAGAAATTGAAAGAATCCACCTATCACCTCCTGAAAGAGATCCCCAAAGGAAAACTCCTAGGAATATTATAGCCAAATCCCAGATTCCCAGGTCAAGAAG